CTGTTAAAGATCTGAAGTGTTCATTTACACATTACTCAGTATTAACCGAACTGATGTGACACTGCACATATTTACTACCATTATCAGCGTACCATGAAGAGGAGCAACAGGCTCTGCCTTTCCAGCGAGCATCAGCTGAGGGCTCCTCTCCGATGCAGAAGACGTTTCACCTGGACTCTGCAGGTGTCTACACTGACCCCTACCCCAAGTTGCATTTCCAATGGGTGGTTGATGAAATAGTGCCTGCACTGGTGAGAGTTCCTGTCAAGCAGAGCAGTGTGCAGCAGAGGGACAGAAAGGTTTGCAGAAAGAAGGGTCATAACCCATCTCTGGGGATCGAGGCTCTGCTTTGCTTGGTGGATCTGGGTGCATCAGGGAATCTGGACACACTGCCAACCTTCTGGGCTCCTCTCCCACCAATGTGTGGGACTATTTGCCTACGACGTGTTTAAATACATCTTATTGAAATATGCATTCTATTTTTATACCCTTCCAATAAATGTCTCTATAGAAACCGTGGTTTTCTCTTATGTCGTCATTGCTGTGGACCGTCAGGAACAGCTAAGCAGCTCAAACTCCTTTCCCTGGGGATGGAGGTTGCTGCAGAGGGCCCAGGGCTGCTGGCCAGGCAATTGTAGTCCCTCATGTTTACTATCTCCAGCAGCCTGGCTCAGCGAGCGTGCTCACCCCTGCCCTCCCTCCACACTGGGGCGAGTGGTTGTCACTCCTCCCTTTGGGAACCAGCCTGGATTGTTCAGCCTGGAGAACAGAAGGCTCCAGGGAGGCCTTATTGCAGCCTTTCATTACTTAAAGGGGGCCTCTGAGAAAGATGGGGACAAACATTTTAGCAGGGCCTGTTGAGCAAGGACAAGGGGGAATGGTTTTAAACTAAGAGAGGGTAGATTTAGACTAGATACAAGGAAGAAATTTTTTATGCTGAAGGTGGTGAAACACTGGCACAGGTTGCCCAGAGAGGTGGTGGATGCCCCATCCCTGGAAACATTTAAGGTCAGGTTGGACGGGGCTCTGAGCAACGTGATCTAGTTGAAGATGTCCCTGCCTACGGCAAGGGGGTTGGACGAGATGACCTTTAGAGGTCCCTTCCGACCCAAACTATTCCATGATTCTATGATTTTCCTCCTGACAACTCAGGCACACGTTATCCCTGTGCCCAGCTCATTTGCAAAGGTTAAAACTGTCACAGAAAATATTAAATCCAATTCTCTTTATATAACCTGCAGCAGTGGCTGTGTTGCAATCACTGCTTGTGTACATTCCCCACTCAGCTTCAAAACACATTTTGGCAGTTGGAGGACATGTATTTAGAGGGATCATGATTATTTCCCTCCTGGTTGCACAACAGTTCCGTTTCTACTCCCCACCCCTGGGAAACGGGTAAGTGAAATCAGCAAACATTTTGGTCACCTGTTCATACACTCAGCTCCGGAAAATGGGATCTCGGTGAAAGGGAAGAGTTTTATTTAGTGTCCTGGGGATATCAGCAGTGGTGGAGAACTCAAGCCATGAGCCTCCTGATATAACGACAGTTTATACGATCCATTCCTGTTGGGATTTTGTCATCAGCATTTCGTGGTTTGCACCTCTGGAGATGCTGCTGGTGAGAGGTGCCCCTCTGCTGTGGTGGCTGCTGGTTTGAGTGGACTTGTAAAATACACTGGCTTCCCTCTTCTCTGCCCTCCATAACACACAGACCCTTGCTTCTTTAACCAGGAAATCTCTTTTCTACCACACAGCACGAGGGGACCAGGTCCCTTTGGAGGTCTTCGGATGATGTAAAGACGCAAACTGTAACAAAAGCCCCAGCAAACAAGTCCTGTCCCAGAGAGAGCATCTCTGGGAGCTGGGGAGGGGAAGAGGAGTGCACTGGGCTACAGGAAAGACACTAATGTGGAGAGCGGGACTGAGGTATGAAATCTTCTTGTGGCAATTGCATTTCCTTCTCTGGGGTGAAGAGCATCTCCTGCCTTGGCTATTCCTTCCAACACCGCTTAGCATGGTTGTTTCTTCTAAGTAACTACCACCAACCTGCTTCACCCTCTGCTACCACAGGTTTGACAGATTATTGTTCATTATATTTGGGGCTTGTCATTCCAGCAGAGCTGGCTCCATCATCTTCTGCACAAGGAGGAGAAGGGAAAAGACCCACAGAGAGTCCCCCAAAGGCAAGCTGGTTGGAGCTGGGGCTTTGCATCAGCCGGGAGGGAAGGGGGACAGGGCTTGTGGCATTGCCAGCACACAGTCAAAATGTCCAGGTCCTGGCCCATGGCCAGTGCTTGGAGAAAGGGGTTCTGTCACCAGCACAAAGCAGAGCTTAGCTGGCAAGAGGGAACGAACAAAAGTTCTCAAAAAGTTCACGAGGACTTAGCTTTTGTGTTGTGGTGGGGGGGGGGGGGGGAAAGAACAAGAGAGAGATTTCCTGGAAATGAATCGGCTTCTTAAATATTCCCTTCAGAGGTCGCCTCCGCCTCTCTCCTTTCCCCTGCCCTGAGCTGAAGGGCTGCGGGGGAAAACCATCCCCCAGCAGCTGCAATCGCTCTACCTGCCCTTTGAGCACAGAGGCTGACAGCAGCCCGGTGGAAAGTACCCTGCTCCAACATGCAAACCAGCTCCAAAACTGGCTTAACATTTTGGTTATTCTCCTTGTTTTCCAGCACAGCACAAGCCCTCCGTGCACACAGCGTCTTTGCTGATAAACCTGAACCAGAGTGTGTTGGCTGTGCTGCAGGGTGAGTCCATCGTCCCAGTATAAAGCGGGTGAGGCAGCTCCCTGCTGCGGATGCTGCACGTTCCCCACAGTAACTCATGCAATAACTTAGTCTTATTAACAGGGAGATTCTTATTTATTAGATTTAATAATGCCCTTTTTATGCAGCAAAGCAACAAAGCACACAAAGGGCCATTCACCACCAGCCGCCTCCAGCGCCGGTCCCCAAGCACCGTGCCCCAAACGGGCATCCCGGAGCGACAGCAAAGAGCAGCCCATGCCTTTCAGGTGAGGTAAGAAAAACGGTGCCAGCTGGTAGGTTTTGAGTGCTGGGGACCAGGGGAGCAAGGCACATGCGTGCTTAAGGTTTGGGAGCTCGGGGACAGCGTTTCACCCTGCAAGGTTTTGGGGAGCAAAGGGGTGTTTGAGAAATGTCTGGACAGGAATGACAGGGCTTTCCAGGTCTCCTCGTCCTCTCACCGCTGCGATAGAGATATGAACATTGTCTAGTTCAAATGTTAATTAAGCAGCTCTCCTTAAGTGTAAGTAAGCAACAACAGCAAAAAAGTGATAGTTCTGAGAATTTCAAGGAACTTCACAAAAAGCAGAGATGCAAGCTTCAAAATAGCTATGAGACACTTCTGCAGAGTAGGAGGAGGGTAAAGCTAAGCGATGTTAAGCGAAGGACTGGTGTCCTGCAGGAAGCCTGTAGCAGGGCTGCCTGTGGTGGCCTACAAGATGGTGTCCTGCCTGCAGACACCCCACGGGGTAAAGGCAATATACCCCAGCCCTGTGCAGCTCCTCACAGCCCCTCCTGTATCCCCCCTTCACAGCAGCAGTGCCACGGCCATGCATGCTTTCTCCCGGGCAGGCACCTCCAGATCTCGTAGCTCAACTGAACAAAACCCATCCTTTCTTCAGAGTAACCGGGGGGCCGGGGGTGGAAACAGAAGACAGGACCAGCATCAGGGAAAGTTATTTGTGTCTGCTCTGGAAGGAAAGGTACCATGAACACGCGGTCTCCCATGCCATGAGGGCAGCAAGCATCTCCAGCTGGGCAGACACCATGCTCTGGCCGGCAGACCCACAAGAGGCTTTATCACAGCAAGCACAGCCCATTCCCGTGCAACACAACTGGCCACACGTGGCTGTCCCAGAGCAGAGCCAGATGTTCTTCAAGCAGAAGAAATGAGGCAAGGCAGATGTTGGCAACCTCAACGGCACAGGAGTCCAATTCTCTTTTTCCATCCGCTTGAGACAGAAAAGGAAATCGGTGTTGGATTACATCTCGGCATGTGAACCGTGGAGGGGGGTGAAGAGGGTGTATCAGGTCCTCAGCTAATGCAAACCAGTGTACGGTCTCTGTTTTGCAGCACGTGAGTACCAGGATGTTGCAACAAGAATCTCAGAGTATTTGATTTTTAAGGCATTTCAGCTTCAATTACTATGCACGTGAAAGCTGAGAAGAAGATTTTTCTCTTGAGTTGGTACTCCTTAGTTCTACTCAGCACCTCAAAACCCTTTTGAGACTCTCAGCTCAAAATATTCTCTAGTCCTTTAGCAGCAGATGGATAAAATATCAGGCAGAAGACTATGTGTGGCTGTGACAGCAGCCAAACCCAACAAAATGTTTACTTCAAAGCAGGCAGAAGGATAGCTTGTCCAGCTGGAAAAAGCAGGAAACATTTTTTAAAAGAGTGGAAGAGGGGGACAGAGAGGGAGATGGTTGTGTAAGTCATGATGTTTCAATTAGATCATGCCTGAATGATAACAGAAGTTCATGAACTTATGTTCTAGGCAAAATGGAGGTATCCGGTTTGTCCCTGTGCATCTTCGTCCTGGCACAGACGTCAGGTGGTGTTTTATGGACAGGTAAGGAAGGACATGGGCTGTGCAGCAGCTGAGCTATAAACACATCTGTGTGTCTGTGGTTATGGTGGATGCCACCGACGTGGGGACCAAATACGTCCCTCCTGCAGGGTCTTATGCTTTTCTGAATGAATTTCGGCTATTTGAAAATATCAGAAGTCATCTAGTCCAGTAATTAATGTCCCTGGAGAGGTCTTGGGTTGGGTCAGAGATGGTTAATGGATGTCAGTGGGAGCCCAGATGCCAAAGGCAAATCCTTCCCATGGATTTGGGGCATGCTGGAGCAGGTCCTTCTGTGACATTGTGGTAGTAAAATATCATGGGTTTGCTGGAAGAATTGTCACTACCATCAACCACCTTGGCTCTCCCAGGTAAATGGATGCAGTCATAGGAACCTATAATGCCTATAAATAATCAGCTCTCTTGCAGGTGGCCACACCAGCCTGACTCTCGCTTTGAGCAACTTTATTCTTTGCAACGGTCTTCTTGCCCTGTGTCCTACAGCCTTGAGAGCCAAGAGCCAGCCCAGCCATCAGCTCCTCCAACCACAAAAACTGCCAAGATGACCTAAGACATGTTCCTTCCCATCCAGGCATGTGAAGGAAGCTATTTTTGCCCACCATCACCTGCCCCAGACCCTGGTGGGATCCCAGCATCCAACAACCACACATCAGGCTCAGCAGGTCTCCGAGGAGGTAATTGATAGCAGCAATTCCCTGCTGTGAAGGGAGGTACTACTGTCAGGATTGAGTTGTAAATGGTCTTTTTTAGGTTTCTTCAGCTATTTAAGTACTGTGTCCACAGATGGACTAAGAGGCAAGGTCTGCACTGGGCTGCACTGGAAATATTCCCTATGTTCCCAGTCCCAGCAAACATTTATTATCTGACTTTAAAACAAGTGCCATAGGATGCGAGGAGGATTTGAGGCAGTGCTCGATCTCACCTTAGGCACCTGAGGATATCTACTTGCTGGCGCTGGCTGCTGGCATGGGCCACAGCTTCCTTCACCCACACACCTTGGTTTTCTCTGGCCTCACTGTGAGAAATTCGTTTTATGCTCTAAATGCGAATCCTCTAAAGGGTTTTCAGGATGCTAAGTAGGAATTCAGAAAGAACGACAAAAAGAAGCAAGATTTTTTTTTTTTCCCTTTGATTTGAAAAATAACTGGCCTTGAAACCGCTATGGGCTATGGTTTTTTCCCTCTCAGGACAGGACAGAAGACTCCTGCCAATATTATGTAGCAGGGCTATACCACATTTCACATGGGGATTTGTAACTGCCTTGCACAAGGGACTGAAAAGTGAGAAATAGGCTCCAGTGAGCGAATGATTGCATGACATCTTCTGCATCTGATTTCTTGCATTTGCAGAACATCTATCTACTGTCCTGGGGCTTTCCTGGAAGTCTGGCTGTAGCAGTCACAGGGGCAAACACTCCCCCTCTGAGTGGGAGGGACAGAAAGCGGCAGCTCCATGTCCCCCTCGTATGCCCTCCATGGGGGTGTCCTGCACTGACTCTTCCAGCCTGAGATCGGAGGGCATGACATGAAGTTAGCTACATCCATGAAGATGCTGTGAAAGCTAAAATTTGAGCTGGCTTTAAAAAGCGCCTGGACAAATTCATGCAAGAAGCAGCCACCCATGGGGAGCTGCTAAAGCGCCTCAGGCTTGGGGACCCCTGAGCCAAGGAGCAGTCGGGGAAGCGGCAGCAGCCACTTGCCCTGTCCTTGTGCTCCTCTACGCTCAAGGGCCCTCAACAAGGGGCCAAAGGAGATGCTTGGTCCCTGTTCTCTTGGGACCC